GGGGAGAGTTGAGCCCTGTGTACTTTAAATCTAAAGTGTTCATCACAGAGAAATCCAGCTAAACTAGGGAAAGAAATCCACATACGCTTAACAGTGGATTTAAGTTCTCTTATTGGTAAATGCCAGACTAAGGGACCAAATACCACTGCACCAAGGGTAAAAACACTGAATTGGAAGTTCCTACTTTCTTGCTAAGGTTCAACTAAAATCTTTGAGGCACATAATTGGCAAAATAGGAAAATACACACAATTTCATAAAACATGTTAAGAGTAAACAAATTCTCCTCCTGTTTTTCCCCTTAGAAATTTAGAATGGCACCAGGTAGTGCAAAGTGGAAAAAAGTAACATCAGCCCTGTCTCTTCCAGGTAGATATGTTTCAGCAGAACCACGAAGCAAAAAGCATCCTCATCCCCCAGCCGTGGCCCACTAGGCCTTTTCTTTCAGCTTCAGGTCAATACTGTGAAGAGAAGAAAGAAAGGGAGAGAGAAAACATGAGAAACCCAGTGAGAAATATTCAGGAATGAATTGGGTGGCACGGGTTTGCTATTTTCCTTAAAAGACTAACTGAAAACAAATCATGCAGGGTTGTTTCTTTATATATATATATATACTAGAACAATCTGGAAGAACACAATTCTCCTCTCATTGCCAAGCTTTTCTCTAAAAGATGGAATTTGTTTATTTTTACAGCAATGTTTTTGGAAGCTTTTTATGCCTTTTCAGAATGATCCAGGGAGGTAAAAGATCAGTGTAGAAGCTCCTTCCCAAGGTCAATTTGGACAAAGAACATTACAGCATTTTGGAAATAAAGGATCTGTCACCTTTTAGTAAATGCCCTTTCTTCGTTGTCTGGTTAATTCAGCATGAGCCTGGTCATGCTGAATGTCACTGAGGTCCAGTACAGGGGACCACGTCATTGGGAATATTTGTTTTTTAAATGCTCTCAAGGATCTGACTTGCTTTCTTATCTGTAGAGTTTTACTTTGGGATTGTCCTCTTTTTATCCACCGTGCTCCCTGTATGCTTTTCAAACATACTTTAACAAAACAAGTTATTTATTTTTTTTTAAATCTTGTTTATGCTCTAAAAGTTATTTGTGACTACAGTTATCCACAGAAGTTTGTAGTAGGTTTGATTTGGGTGACTGGAATTTTAGTCTTTCATTCATGGAATTGACTAGTTTCTCTCACAGGCCAAGAAGGTATTCACTTAGCCAGAATTTGAAGCACAGTTGTCTGGAAAGTTTCAAGGTGGGTGAGAATCCTTGAAATCATTCTGTGAAGATTAAAGTGCATGGTCACTTTGTTTCACCTTCTGCCCTTAATAAAAATCTGAACCAACACTTATACCACAATGTCCAACTCCAAACACATTTTGTTGTTGTTCTGACTTCTTTTGTAAACCTTCTGGAGTTTGATTCTTCCCTTCTGTTTTCAGTAATCAAAAAGCTAAAAGACTTATTAAACAATTTCTCCAGTTTATGGAAGAAGCAAGAGATAGTTAGAGGTGGACAATTTTCTTAAAACTTAATACAGGAAACTAGAAACTACTCTGAAGATTGTTTTTTTGAGATAACTGGTTTTTCCTTGTTGGGGAGGCTAATGAAACTAACAATGCTACTTATTTAAGTCTCACCAAATACAACCACCTTTGATTATATAATGTTTTTAATATATATAAAATTATAAAAGTCATGTATAATATACATATATATATATACACATATTAAAATTATGAAATTCATGTGTGAATAAATAAAATTCAAACCTAAACATGAAGGAGATAAGCACTGATGCCAATTTTAAAATCTAATGTTCTATTTGAATAAAAAAATTACTTTGAGTCAGAATTGAATATAAATGGAGTGTTCCTCAGATGAGCTTAGTTTTCTATCATCAACTTTGCAATGAGACAGAACAACCTTCAGATAATTTTATGTGGCCACATTAGTCCATTTAAATGAGGTTTTGACAAAGTATCTGTGGATCTTGTTTAATGATAAAAACACTGGTGTTTTATGCAGGAAGAGGGGGAGATGGGCATGTTTCCCTTCTCTCTCTCTCTGTCTCTCTCTCTCTCTCAGCACAGTGAGGGACCACTATAGAATTAGCACACATTTCATTGTATTCTTGGCCTGTGAGTTCCTTGGAAAATCCTGTGCCCATTTGCAGTTGATCAGTACTACACAAGGTATAAAATGCTTCCACACAGGATTCTTCCCTGGAAGAACAGAAGCCTGGAGTGAATGAAACCAGAAGAAGGTAAATGAAGCCCCTCGTTCTAACACTAAAGGAAGCCAAAATCCATGGCTGGAAGTCAGGGGAGAAATTTTTTTTTTTTTTTGCTAATTCTTGCCTTTCATCTGGGAACCTCACCGTATTTATGGTGATCATGTATCTCATTTGAGGCTTGTGAAAGAGGAGACTGACCAAAAGGAAAGCCCTGTAGGAGAATGTGTTCTTTTAAAAAGTGGGAAGTGGGGCTGGGGTTGTGGCTCTGTGGCAGAGCGCTCGCCTAGCATGCATGAAGCACTGGGTTCAACCCTCAGCACCACATAAAAATAAAATAGGATACTGTGTCCACCTAAAACTAAAAAATAAATATTAAAAAAGTGAAAAGTGTCATTAATAATTTGCAGCATTCCTCCCTTCCCCCCACTCTCCCCCACCCCTGTACCCAGCCCTGGAATGAACCCAAACAAGAAGGAATGTTCTACCTTCTTCCCAACCCCAGCAGCCCCACAGACCAAAAGAAGCAAACAAACAAGACAGGCAAAGGAGTGGGTAAGCCTGAAGATGTAGCAGCAACAGGGCAGTGAGTGACTGGATCACGCCTTCCGCAAAGTTTGTTAATTGCAGGAGCTGTTAACTCATCAAGGGGGTGCTGTTCTGTTAAGGAAGGAAATGTAGCATATTTGCAAAATGTATCATGGTGGACTAAGGGAACTGAGATATGTATGCTTTGCAGAATTTCATGTGGCAATCTGCTTGAAGCAATTGCTGCCATCATCTCAAAAGGTAGACCAAGAGTGACCTTCAGAAAAATAGCTGCATGATTTACAACATTTGTTCTTTGTGCCCTTTTCAGTTAGGACTTTCTCTCTCTGGAATTTTGTTCCCAAACTTCCTTTAGGCTAAGGGCAGCATGGCAACTGTAGAGCTACTGCACTATGATCTTCCAACTTCTCTGTGGACCAGGAGGGGGAAAAAAAGGTGACAAGAGAGACACACTTAAATTTGATCTTTACCTCTCTTTGATTCCTGGGAACAAGGACAATGTTACATTCTCCACCAGTCAAACTAAATTAGGAGCCCATTATTGGTGGTCTGGTTCTCTCTGAGAGTATGTTTTGACTACCATTTTTTCCCTGAGACTGACCTGGCTACTAACTTTATTCTCTTAGGTGAGAGGTGGCATAGCCATTTGTACATGTAGACCACCTTTCTCTGACTTATAAATCACTAGGCTCTGGATCTGAGTTACCAAGGTTCAAATCTCAGTTCTGGATCTTTTTTTTTTTTTTCTTTTGGTACCAGGGATTGAACCCAGGGGCAGTTTACCACTGAGCTACATCCCCAGCCCTTTTTATGGGGCTTGCTAAGTTGCTTAGGGTTTCACTAAATTGCTGAGACTGGCTTTGAATCACGATTCTCCTGACTCAGCCTCCAGAGTCATTGGGATTACAGGCATGCACCACCATACCTAACTGGCTCTGGGCCATTTTTGTGACTGTAAAACATTTGTCTTGTCAGATAATCCGTCTATGCCTCTATTTCCTCATCTGCAAAATGTACCGCAGAAGCTTATACGGAAGATTACAATCAGATACTGTAGATGAGCTTTGAAATAGAGTCTGGCACATGGTATGAATGCAATGCGTGTCAAATTTCTATTTCTCATAGAATGGAAATCATCCAATTAGGTCATTCCTGAAGTTCCATGCAGACTCAACGGCTTCCTGGAACTTGCAAAACAAGGATACTTCTTCCCTATCCACCAAAATATTGTTAACATGGAAGTCCAGTTTTCAGTAATTAAAACAAACAATATCATTCAGAAAGTAGAGTTGCATTCCTCTTATCCAACTGTTCTTACATCTGGCCCCAATATTTTTGTTCTCTGCACTTTTGGATTAGAAAAACAGAATTCACATAAAGACTTAGGTTGTCCTTACTGGTGATCACAAATGAGACAGCATGAAGCTGGCAAGTTTCTCTTGAGTTTCTAATTTCAGGAATGGAGCACATGAAAGCTGAACATCTAAACGGGCTTTACCCAATCCTGGATGCATTTTTTGTTTTGTTTGTTTTCGGAACCCCACCATACAACCACAGGTAACCACATAGCTTTATTGATGATGAATTCTTACTCCTTCTCCATAGAAGACATTTCTGGATCATTGTAAAGGCAGCTAGTTCTGAGTGCAAGGAAAAAATAGGAAGTAGTCAACATTTTCTCCACTCATACTGCTAAGTCAGCACAACTGATTTGGGGCATTTGAAACTGTTTAATGTGGTCCCATTGCTATTACTGAGCAAATCTACATCAGAGCAGATGATGAGATTAAGCTGTGACTTTTCCCACATTGGTTTTGAAATGCAGTAATTGCCCATGATTTAGAAACATTAAAAGAAAGACTTAAAAATGTCAAATACCTGCTGTGGTTTTCTCTGGCCTGGTCATTTTTCCTGACTTTTTAAACCTATCTTATTCAGTTAACATAATATCATAAATTTTATTTGTACCCCAAATAATCAAGTATTTTATACACAAAGGAAAATCCCTCTCATTTTTGTTTACACATAAACACAGTTAGTTTTCAGTTTTCATAAGAGTGAGGATTTTCCAAGACACTGAAAGAAAAAAACATTGGTGTCAGAAGTTTCCTTGAACACTGATCTCTCCATATAGCTGAGCTGTGTACAGGTAATCCTAACACTAACCTAAACCAGGTATGTCCAGGAGGAAAAATATAACCCAATAACATAATAAAGTGAAAGTTTTTGAAGGTGTTTGTTTTTTATGTCATATTAGCTGTTTTGATAGTCCATATTGGTGCAATTACTGTTAGCAAACTTTGAGTTTGCTTTATATTAATTTCTGATTAACACTTTGTATAATTCAACTTTTACTTTTCTTCCACCTCTGGTGTTGTTATTAGCAAATATCATTTGAAGGGATTCTATGATCTTTTTTAAAGGCAAGAGTTTCTTTCATAATGTGAATAGTTTTACAAGCCAGTTTATCTGTTTGCATATAAGAGGTTCAGTGATAAGACTAGTGGGTTTTTTGTTTGTTTCTTTCTTTTCTTTAAATGGCAGAAGGCTATTTTCCCCAGGCAGGGTAGTGGCTTTTCTCCTCATTCTCCACCCTTCTTGCTGGGGGTCTGGTATTTTTATAGAGAGTATTTGGCAACTCTAGTGAACAAGGATAGTCAAGAAAGTGTTGACAGTGTGCTAGAAAAAACTAGCAAAGCTGGAGTGAAATCAAGAAAGGGCAGTTTTCCAAACCCAGTCGTTCTGCTTTTTAATTTAGAGTAATCCAAAGAAAACAGCAATTTGCAAACCATTTAATTCTGTCACTCTAAAGAAGGCAAATGGATCCTTCTCCATTTGCAAAATAAGAATAGGTTTGTGTGTAGTATTTATCCTTCGAAAGTAGTTTCCTTCCTGTATAGATCTAAGGTTTTAAAGAAAAGATAGGTCAGGATGAGCAAATCATTTTCTGAATGTCAATGCTACTCAATTTGGCATGCAATTTAAATGGTATTGTGTGTGTGCATGACAGATTCTGTTAGAATAAAATTTATGTCATTTTGAGGGTGGTTTTTTTTGTTTTTTCATCTGAATGGATGTTAATTCGCTTTAAAGAAAAAGGATAAGAGTATTGTAACAGTTAACTATACTGTTGATAAAATTTCTAAAGCAAAAGTTTTAAAATGCTATTGGAAAGAAGCCACACTATAGACAGATAGGGTTTGTTCTCTGATAAAGTATATGTTTGCCTCTGGTTAGAACTAGACCGAAGCTTTCTAATAAGGTCACATGGAAAGTCAGAGCACATCTGTCAATAGAAAGAACCTGGGTGTATCTGCCTTATAACCAAGATATGTAGTGGTCATGTTTTCTGGACCCCCAAATCATCCTATAGAGTTTGTCCTAGGATTTGGGAACACCTGCAGGGGCTCAAAGGTTGTCAATGTAGTTGGTGGTCAAAAAATGCAGGACTCTGTGGCTTTCCAATCATTGAGGGGGACAACGGAATACAGTGCTTTCTCCTTACAATGCAAAAGCGTAAATATTTTTCAGTTTCACGATCAAATGAAACAGGAACAATTGGTGGATTCTTTCAAAAAATAGCAATCTACTGCATCCAAAGCAAAAGCACAGAATGCTAACATCTATCAAAAAAAAAAAAGTTTTTGTTTTGTTTTGTTTTTGTTTTAAACTTAGCCCTTTATTTTAAGGCAGAGACCTACAGAATAAGCATCACTGGAACCAGTTCGAATTGCAGATTTCAGCCCCACCTGAGATTTGCTGAACCAGAAAATCTCAGGGTGAGAGCAGGAGACGGTTTTAACAAGTGCTCCAGGTGACTGTGATGTACAGTAAAATTGGGGAGCCACTGTTCAAAAGCAATGAACCTACTCTTATGTAAATGCATTAATTTTTGCAGGATACATTTATTGAACTCTCAGGCATGATCAATGTGCTTTTTTAAGAGGGAGACTGAGGCTTTTCAGGGCCATTTAAAATATTTAGGTATTTTAGAGAAAAAGGAGAAAGCTACACAATGAAACCAAAAATAACTGTTTTACTATGGTAGCCAAATAGGAAGAGTAGCAATATGGAATGGGGGTAAACCTATTGAAGGAGGCAAGATTTCATGGCAAAAATGAAAAAAAAAAATGACTTTGTTAATAGGTTTGGCTGGGAAATTATTGATGTCTCCTCTTGATCTTTTATTTTGAAAATGGCTCCTTAATTTCATTAATATGTCATCCTCCTAAAAGAGAATACACTGAAGTTTCTTTCTGGAGGAACCTCATGACACAAACCAATCGAGTGTATATAAATGCTATACATTACACCAACATGTGGTTCCTAGATTCCTAAAATCTTCCTTTCACAACTACTTATTTGTTATAGTTGAGTTGGAAACTAAGAGGATTCTGCTAGAATAAAAATTATGTCATTTTGAGGGTTTTTTTTTCATGTGAATGGAAGTTAATTCGCTTTAAAGAAAAATAATAAGAGTATTGTAACAGTTAACTATACTGTTGATAAAATTTCTAAAGCAAAAAAACTTTTATTTTTAATACAAAAGATTCACATTATAGGCTACTTACAATAAAAATGTATTACAGAAAAAAATGTCTAAATAAATTGTATTAATGAGGAATTGGTATTTATTTACAACAAAGCAGTAAAACTTAATTATTTAGATCATATTCATTTAGAATTTATAACTGCTTGTAGACTTCCTGCTTTCATACTCTGTTAAAATGAATGTCTGCTGTAAAAAATCAACAGTGTAAGCAACATTTGAAATGGGGAAGCAGCTTCAAGTACTTTACTTAGTGTGGCAGGATCTCCAGAATAGCACTTATCTACATTTAACATGAAGCTTCAAAATTTTTCTTTGTAACTTGGAACAAAAAAAAAAAAAAAAGAAAAAAGAAAAGAAAAAGAAAAGATTGGGTACTTTTTCAGAGGAGCTTTGGGCTGACTCTAGGGCTATTTTATAGCTCTGTAAGGGCAGAGGTTAACTTGCAGATTTATGACCAGCAGAGATGCAAATACTTTCTGATAACCCAGTGTTACAGTTTTTTGCCCTACTGGACATTAACCAGTTTTGTATTTAACCCAACAACCTTATCAAACATTCTTTTGTAAATAGCCTATATGGTAGTCCCCTCTTATCTGTAATGTCTCTACTAGCAGTTTAAACACAGTCTAAGAATATTAAATGAAAAATTCCAGAAATAATCTATGAGTTTTAAATAACCTTTATTATATTTGTTTATTATTGTTGTTGTTAATATTGTTATTACTAGTTATTGTTAATCTTCTATTCTGCCTAATTTATAAGTTAAACTTTATCACAGCTATTTTATTATAGAAGAAACAGTATATTTAGGGTTTGATGCTGTTTGTGCTTTCCAGAATCCATGGAATGTCCTGGAACAAATAAGATAATAATATCCGGCTGATAAGAGGGAAGTACTACTGATCTCTAATTTTCCAGTGCTCTTCAAATTGACTTTAACACTTCACTGGTTCCCAGATTAAATAATTAGTTTAATAAAATCATTGGAATGTGTTCATTTTATATTCTCATGAGCATTATGACTTTTACTTTTTTGAATATACCTCAACAATAGTGAGCAATGACTTTTTTTTTTTTGTATTTTTCAAAATATCATGGAGACTCTGAGTTAAGCAATGTTTCCAAGTTACTAAATAAGGTGGTGCTGTTGTTTTAAATCTTGGAAGGCCATAAAATTGATTCTACAAAAATCTTCCAAATTTTAACTTGCTATCATTTCCCCCATAAATAGAATGTGTGAGGTTCTGCTCACGATCATCTGATGTCATATCCTATGTGGTAGTGCCTGTGACAATTCTTTTGTTATGGTGTCTAGAATTGTATATTAAAAAATTAAACAGTGACAAATGCTTTCCTTAAGATAACCAAGATCATGGGGAAAAGACTGTAGAAAGAAAAGCAGAGATTGCATTTACCATGGGAGAAAGACATTTTTAAAGTGCAGCATTATTATCAGGATGCAAAAAATAAAACACCAAGCATGCAGATTCTTCCCATTCATTCCTGAAATCTAAGCCAAAGTCACATCAGCTGCTAAATTAAAACCAAGTCTTACTTAGCTGCTTCTGATGCTTCTCTCAGTTCTTCATCCAGTCTGCATGAGCAAAAATTACCGATGTAGAAAAGAAACAAAAAAGAAGCAAGCAGAGCATGAGAGAATCACCCAGCAAAGCAGAGCCAAACATAAGTGGTGTGTGTTTGCTTTTAAGAACCATTCTCTGGAGCATCAAGACACAGTTAAATATGGCGTCATTTCCTCCCATTGGGTGTTCAGTGTGTGTTACCTTTGCAAATTCCTTCATAAAGGTATATGTGAAAATTGCAAGGGGATCATAAACATGCTGGCTGAATAAAGCTGGAAACATCCACATCAATGTGTTGGGAACAGTTAAAGTTAGCTTGCAGCCTGGGCCAAGCCAAGGGTGTATCTGGTTTAGTAGGTTTCAGCTGCAGACCAGGTTGACCTCAACAGCTTTACACATACGACAAAGAACAGAAATGGTAGACAAAGGACTGATACAACAACCTCTTGCTCTGGTAGCATGTTGAGGTCACCCAGGAGTAAAACACTGGAGTGCACACACAGGGGGTCCAGCGTGAAGGTTATCAGGAGATTTTTACCTCACACTTCTCTTATAAGATCTCTCTTCATCGTACCTTATGAGATAAAAATGGATGCCATGAGGAAAATGAGCAAATGGATGGAAAAATGACAGATAAATGTTTTAAATGACACTCAAACTGTGAGAAAAAAATTCTATCCAAATAATCATCAAATTGGCTTTGGGGAGAAAACTTATTTTCTTTAGATGTAATCAATGAGTTATAATTTAAAAATAAACACTGTCAATCCTCACTCTTTGTGGATTCCGTATTTGCAAATTTGCCTGTTCACTGAAACTTATTTGTAGTCCCCTAGTCAACATGTGGCACTTTTTTGGTCACTTGTGAATACGTGCAGGGTGGCCAAAAGTTTGAGTCGCCCAGTGTGCATGCACATCGCCAACTGAGGTCATGTAGGTGAGGCTCTGCCTTCTTGAGTTTCACACTGTAAACAAATGTCTTTTTCTAGTTTACTTGGTGATGTATTTTCCTCACTTTTGTTCTTTTGTTAGTGATTTTGCTATTTTAAATTTCCCCCAAAATGTTGTGCCAAAACGTTGCCTAGTGTTGCTGTATACAAGAAGGCTGTGACCTGATTCACAGAGGATATATGTGTTAGAGAAGATCTGCTTAGACACATGTTGTAGTGCCTTGAGTTCAATGCTCATGAATCAACAGTATATACTAATAAGGTTTCTTTAAACAGAAAAATACATAAAATCAACTAATATTTTGAATGGGTTATAAAAATATTGTGACTGGAGACTTACAGAAACCTAACCCTGTATTTTCCCTAGGAATAATAGTTCAGTATTTACTAATTGGCTACAATGATTTTATGGAACCTAATTGCCACAGATAATGAGAATTAACTGTAAGCAGGTGATTAGTCAATCAAATCAATCAACCAATCAGTCCCATTCCTGGTTGGGCAAATTTTCCATCACGTAAACCCTTTGATGATAGACTCTATCCCAGCTGAATATTGGTCATGTGATTAGCTGAGATCAAGTCTTTTGTATGTTATTTAGTAACAGAAAAATGTTATGGCTTGTATCGTTTGAAAACTACATAATGGGAAAACAAAGACCAGTAACAGAAACAGCAGAAAGGACATCCCAAGGAGATGGATTACAGAAGACAGAAACACGGACAAGTGGGAGAACATCCCGGCTGCTAAATATCTATCTCCAAAAGAAAATCTTTCTGAATGGGACCCTTCTTCCTGAGGTAACTTTTCCCACATGAATCCCTGGAGAACTGATATACGCAGACAAATTAAAACAGCCTTGGTCATATTTCACTTTTCAATTAAATTTCCCCATACTGCAGTGAGTATCCAAAAGCAACATGATCGTAATAAATAACATTCTAGATTACCAACTCTGCCAGGTGGTTTCCTGAATGTTTGAAGTACACTGTTCTCATTCAGTCTTCAGGACCATCCCATGATGAATGAATTACTTTCCCATTTTACAGATGCTGAATCTAAGAGTCAGATAATTTAGTAGGTTGCCTGAAGTCTCAGAGACATTGAGAAATAGGAGGGAAGCTTCAAAATCTAATAGCCTCCAAAGCCCATTCTCTTTTCATTCTATTGTCTTTCCCACACCATGGACATATTACCTTATTTACCTGGAAAATGACCAATGGAAGAGAGAAATGTCATGTCATCTTTTGCAAAATAAGGCAGCATTATAGGAGATGCATAGCCAGTATTTTTTAAATTTAAAGAGTAACAGTGAATTTTGGAGATTGGAAGCAGGCCAAAGCTGTGAGGAGTGCTGGTTGTGGGAACTCTCTGATGTTACAGAGGATTAAAGCCAATGTTAGGATATTACAAACACTCTGCTTGATTCAGCTGAGTCCACTGACCATTATACGTCCATCAGTATCCTGTATTTATGCTGATCTGGGAGATGGAGAAAAACCAGAATGCATTTATCTACTTCTGAGCTTTGAATTTAGATGGACAGTTTAAGGGAGATAAGAAATTTACAATAAAAAGACATGGGAATTTGGGTGCCAGGCTGACTTGGATTTGAATTCTAGTTTCATCTCTTTCTGGTTCCTACTCATTCTTTCCCAAAGTAAGTTCTTCTTCTTCTTCTTCTTTTTCTTTTTACTTATAGATGGATACAATTCGTTTATTTTGATTATTCAGTTTTTATTTTATGTGGTGGTGGGGATGGAACCCAGTGCCTCACGTGTACTAGGTAAGCATTCTACCACTGAGCTACAACCCCAGCCCACAAAGTAACTTATCAGGAGCATCTATAAAATGGGGGTTTACTATGAGAGTTAAATCAATGATATAAAATTAACTCCTTTATGGCAGGCACATCATAACCTAATAGACCTAATAACATATTATTTAGGTTTTATGTGTGTGTGTGTGTGTGTGTGTGTGTGTGTGTGTGTGTTGCTGGGGATCAAACGCATGCTAGGCAATCAATCTACCACTGAGCCACAATCCCAGCCCTAGACACACATTAATTGATAATCTTTTCCTTCTATTTTTTTTTTTTTGTTGTTGTTTGTTTGTTTTAAATGAGAGGACTGTTTTGGAGCTCAAATTGGGAGGAAAGTTTTGGTTCTATCTCATTGAGGAAGCTATGCAATACTTGTCTTTTTTTCTTTGAACTGATGGTGAAGTCCCTTTCAATTCCAATCAAATTAAAACTGGTGAGTCAGATGCAGTGGAAGGAAAAAAAAAAGGTACACAAAAAGCAGTGGTTCTTTGCAACAACATAAAAGATAGGAAATGTTCATTCTCAAGTGTCTCCAATTTAACATCCAACTCTAAGTACTTGTTTCGTTAAATTTTACTCTTATTTTGGAGCAAAGCTCTGAGACCTTCAGCACCCATGCTTTCCCTTAACAGGCTGCCATGTTACTCTGTACTGAGCAAGAAAACCACCCTACCCACCACTGGGCAAATGCCCTCTGCCTTCTTATCTTGTACCAGAAGGGAATCATGGGGGGAAAAGGAGATTTAGAAGAAAAGAGAAAGAGTTATTTCCTTGTATTTTCCTGGAGTCTTACAGACAAATTTCTTCATATAAGACAATAATGAAATCCAAACTATGCTAAGATCCTACTGTTTATGTACAGAGTGGAGGTCACAAGTAATGAATGTACTGGTTAATATTAAATTTATACTTTCTCCAAAGTGAAAGCAGAATTCAAGGTAAAAATGAACAATAATTAATCATTCCAAAAGAAGATTATGTAAATAATGATCTGAAAGAACAGTAGTCTAGGGGCTGGGGATGTAGCTCAAGCGGTAGCGTGCTCGCCTGGCATGCGTGCGGCCGGGGTTCGATCCTCAGCACCACATACAAACAAAGATGTTGTGTCTGCCCATAACTAAAAAATAAATAAAATTTTAAAAAAGGAACAGTAGTCTATAGTTTAAGGGAAAACTATACATATTTGATAACATTTAATATTTATTTAAAATATGCAACACTATTTCCCCACTATTTTAGAAAGGAGTTATTTTCCATCCACTTCTTCCACAAATATACTATTTCTTACCAAATATTCAGAACGATCAGACTTACTTGATGATACTCTCTGGAATATGGATGCAATCCATTGGGATCAGCCCGCTGAGTTCTGATAAGCTATTAACATATTTAATTTTACTGCTGAATTTTGAACTAAAAGAAAAAAAAAAAGAAAGAAAAACATTTTCATTAGCTGCTACTTCTCCATTCTAGAGTCATTGTCTCTTCTTTAAAAATCTTTTTTGTTTGTGTGTTTGTTACTTTTCTGGTGCTGGGAATGGAACCCATGACCTTACATATATGAAGCAGCACCCTAACCCTCTGATCTACACCCCAGTCCCCAAGTTCTGATGTAACACCTTGACCCAGTATTTTAAGAAGAAAGCTTAACACTATTTGAATAGTCATCATGGGTCAGACACTGTTTTGCTGTTGCCACTGTTTTCTATTTTTTTAACTTGACAAGAAAAAACTGTAAATATTTATTGTGTACAACAAGATGTTTTAAAATGTGTATGCATTGTGAAATGGCTAAGTCAAGCTAATCAACATAAGTATTACCTCACATACTTATTGCTTTTGGGGGTAAGAACACTTTAAATCTACTCTTAACAAGTTTTTTTTTTCTTAGTAATTTTAAAAGCTAGAATGCATTGTTACTAATTACAGTCACCCTATTGTACAATAGCTCTCTTGAATTTATTTCTCCAATTGTAATTTTCTATCCTTTGATGATTTTCCAACCCTAGTTCCCAGGGACCACCAATCTATACTGTATTTCTGAGTTCAACTTTAGTAGGTTCACATACAGTGGTCCCTTACTTGCTATGGAGAATTGGGTCTAGGATCTCCCCCAACATACACATACCTCGGATGTCAAAATCTAATGATGCTCAGGGCCCTTACACAACACAATGCAGTATTTGCATATAACCTATGCATTTCTCCCTATATACTTAAAATTATCTCTAGATTATTTGTAATACCTAATACAATGTAAATGCTATATAAATAGTCGTTATATTGCATTGTTTTAGGGAATGATGATAAGAAAAAAGTCTGTGCATGTCCAGAGATACATTTTTTTTTGTTTGTTTAATTTGTTTAATATTTTCAACCTGCAGTTAGTTGAATCTGCGGGTGCAGAACCCATGGATATAGAGGGCCAACCATATAAATGAAATCATGTCATATTCAGCCAGGAATTATTTTAAGTGATATATATATATATTTCTACTTATATATTTCTTTCTATAGCCTAGAGAGGTAGATACTATAATTATCCTTTTGTCAGTTTTTAAGGATAAGGAAGCTGAGACCAGGGTCTCACCATTAGTAATTGGC